AAAAACGTAGAGATTTTGCTAAGGTGGCTAGCTTCCATTTTCACCAATGTGGAAAATTCAAAGACTGGGATAATGAAGAATTATAATTTATATGAACTTTGGAGCTCAAGAGTATTTGAAATTGGCAATGTATACTTAAGCTGCTGTAGACATATATATCTGTATGCTTGTGCGAGTGATGAGGAATGTGCTAGCTAGAGCTCTGGTATTTATATGCAGCAAACGGCAAGCAAATTGCCTGGAGTAGGAAAAAGTAAGCAAAGCCGGCTTGGAGACTCCGGCAATTAGGATTGGAAAGATTTTCAAACTTTGGGTTGGATGAATTGCAGTACAGCTGCCTTTTATTACAAAGATGATGTTTGCCTCGGTTTTGATATTTCTTAATATAGAATTCAGTTGAATCTATTGTATCCGCGTTCTACTTAATTCTGCATGCATGTTGGCTTTCGGTGAATAATTTTGCTAGTTTATTGGGTTTTCACCGCCACGCAGGATACATAATGCGCCAAGGTTCCCTTAACGGTTCTTCTTTGTTTAGGTGCAATGTGTGGAGATATTAATGTAATTTGACCTACCCATTAAAAACGCAAAAAGGGAGGAAGAGAGAATGTGAGGCCATCCGAAGAAAGTACTTCCTGCATTTTCAGCACTTTAATTTGGTCTACATGCCACATACACTGCCACCTAGAGTTCCAATCTAGTTTGGATAAGAACCGTGCTCTTCTTTTTTTTTTTTGTTAAGAAAAATATTGGAATAGGTTCGGCTCCGATCATCATCTAGATTAGAACAATATTTTTGAAACTATAAGTCGCTAATTATAAAAGATATGATCTTTTGTGAGTAAATGATCTGTTGCGAAGAAATGACCAATTATTGTCAATTAAAGCGCAACTTATATTGACAATACAAATCATAGTCGGAGTAGTGGGTTGAGTTGATCAAACAAATGAGAATACCAGAGTCATACTAGGTTGTTTAATCCTTTTTTTCTCCTTCCCGTTTTAGGTGCATTCATGGAATTGAGTGGCAAAAGAAGTACTGATTTTTTTCTCTATTAAATACACAATTTCGGGGAAAAAGAAGGAGTCATACCTTGTTTGGAAAGCAATTTTTTAACAAAAAAATAAAGTTTCAATTATTTTTTTACCTTACATACATCAAATTTTTACAATACATTTTTTTACGAAAACTCTAGAAAATTGCAATCCTTTCCAACAATCGTGGATTATGATGCTAAAGCAGCCGATAGTACAATTAACACTTAACATACCAGGGACAAGTGCTCAACTTCGCGTCGACGATAAGAGTCCATTAATACTTTGGCTGCTACACGTAACATACAAATCGACCACCAAATTACTCCTTTCAATTTGAATTAAAAACTGTAATATATATATATATATATATATATATATATATATATATGTTTATCATTATTCCATCCAGTGCTAGGGTCGATCGTTTCTAGATCCCGGCCGTCAACTTCTGGGATAATCCAATATGACTTTAGTATACTTTTCTTGCACAACCATATGCCTCTGCATGCCTAATTGTCTTCCACTTCCACGCACCACAATTTCTTTTTTCCCCTTCTTTAGTGTTTCGGTCAAAGAAAAGTATGGCACTTTAACTCTTCCATACCAATAAATCTATACAAAGTCCAACAATAACACAGCTCCTTAGACCATGCACGGTGCACCATGCACCATGCATGTGGTAAGACATCCATATTTTTCACAGTCGAGGGGTTTTAATTTAATGATTAATGTTAAAGTCTGAAAAATTAGAGGTTTTAAATACAAATCTTCTATCCCTTCTTGATGTCGCCATACAGCGAAGGTTCCTCCTTTAGTTGTCTTAGGTTTTTTTTTTTTTTATTGCTAATTTTCTTAGTTTTTAGTTATATACAGAGTAGACATTCTATTAGGCTAATTTTCTACCTACAATAGTGCAATAGTGGAGTTGACTGGCTTTTTCCATGTTTGTGGAAGCTATTTTATTCCATTCACATCACCACTGAGATAATTTTCCACCGAAATTAGATCCCTTATATAAATTTCAGATATAAATTATTTTTTCATTGACTTTCACTTGCATAGTGGGGTTGGCATGCCCCTAAAGAACTAGTCTATTGCTATTCTTTCTTGCATGACTCGTTGATGTCTCTTTTTTCTCATTAAACTACTGCATTATCATTAGAGAAAAAAAAAAAAGTCCATTCAAAATTGGCAACATCTTGCTATGCTAAAGCTTAATTACCCAAGAAAAGTGGAAAAGACTTGCTGCGGTAATTATTTGTAACATTACGCGACTTACCCAAGGTTGAAACTCCAGAACACAGAGAGGTAATTTTAGGTTTTAATCTCCATGTCTTCTTCCCGTTTCTTAAATCTAGATTCTTTTTTGTTAGAAAAAAATTAAAAAAAAAAAATCACACGACTCACCGGGCGGAAGTCTTCTGGTTTTGTCTTCATTCGGTCAGCTGTGGTTCGTTTGAAGCGCGTACCGTGCACAACGCGGTTCTGACTGCTGGGCACGAAAAGTAATTCATCCTAATCCAATCATAATTGGCCAATCATAATCCGTAAGTAGACCCTGACGAGATTGTGAATCATTGAAAAAATGACACAATCCTTTGAGATTGTGAATCATTGAAAAAATGACACAATCAAAGGAAAACTGAACTCTCTTTGGCATTAGGAGCGGATGAATGATTAGTCCAAGTACTTCATAGTAATTTTAAACGTGGAATAGATCGATCGATTTTCAAGACGAAGTAGATGCATACATATGAAATTTATTATGTTATAAACATGAAATATAAGAAAAATTATTTTCTCATCTATAGTGTATAAAACGTTATCAATGAATGTACAATGTAGAACCGAAAACTTATTGGAGATATATTTGACGACCTAAATTAATGTATATAGGGAGGCAATTTACGCACATAAAAATATGCGTGGGAGAAAATAAATAATACTAATAATAATCTATTAATTACATTATAAGAATAAGACTCTCAATCCTTCACTCTTCTTAACTAAATACAATAATATGACTATTTACTTATAGACCAGATGACTTGGCAAATAAGCCTTACAACCATAAGAAATTTTCTAATAAGATACTAATTCCTAAACAATATAACTATTATAGGCCCCCGTTTGGCAAGTGAGTTTTTTAGGTGTTTGTCTAAAACTTTACTATAGAAATTGTAGAAATTTTTTTTTGAAATGTGTAAATTTTTGAATAATTTGAAGTGTATAGTTTAAAAATTTTGAGAATTTTTTTAAGGTTACTGTAGTTAAAGTTGTTAAAAAACTTGTAGCAAACAAACTTGGTCAAAAATTTGCTTGCCAAACAAGGCCATAATTTGACTCCAATAAAATTACTAAAACTCTAATTTGACTAAAATACTACTAAATAATAATATGTGAATTTCTAATTTTGACCCTTGATTTAATATGCCAATATGCAGGCTGCTAATATTGGTGCAAGCATGCATGTTGCTGTAAAATGTGCATACAACTGGTCTAAATAATAGTCAACATTGGTCGCAAGAAACGACGTCTGAGGCTTAGGGCAGATTGAAGAAAGTGGGGAACACCTAGACCACACTTTGTTCATTCCTGGGCTGGAGTCAGTTGATCCACCACTACTCGTTCCCAATGCCTTTGTGTGTGTGTGTTTTTCTTTTTTGGGATTTTAGTCGTTCCCTATGCCTTTGTTTGCTTGTTTAATTGTATGGCATTACGGGTATAAATGAATTGAATTGAATTCAACTTCTAAGCTCACAGGCTCGATTCGAACTTTTTGGGAATCCTATACAGAATTAAAATTTAAGATCTAGTTGGATTTCAATATGATCCAAATGAAATTGTAGATACCAGCTCATACTTGCATGGATCTAGTTTTCGTGAACTGAAATGCTTTGAATGTTTGTATGTTTTTTCCAAGAAACAAATTATAATATATGAAAAGCAACCATTTAAATCATTGAATTCTACTGAATATACCTTTTAGTCCAAAAAATAAAGTCAAGGTTTCGTTTTTGAAAGTATGGAGATTATCAATTATTTCTTGATCCATTACTGGGGTAAATGCTCCTACGTACAGAAGTTCCCCAATTAAATAAAAGTAAAAAGGATCAAACGAAATGTTTTTACATATGAAACATAGTAGATGGAAAAAAAAATAGTAAAATAGCATTGACATAAGACAGTGCTGAAATAGTAGTTCAAAGTTTTATTACAACTAAGGATCCATTTGGATCGTGTATTTTGTGAGTGTTTGTTTAAAATTTTATATTTTACTGTAATTATTTAAAAAAAATTGAATATTTCCAAAACACCCCATTTCCCTTTCCACCGCCACTAATAACTTCTACCATCCACCTCGGCCGCCGGTACTTTATTTGATGTATTTTTTATGTATATTTTGTAAAATCTGCGAATGCTTTAAAGTATTATTTTTGATGGTGTTCTACCAAAATTTTGTCTCTCTAAACTATCTCTAAAACAGGGGTGCCAAACAAACCCTAAAATACTAGAACTTGCTTAATTAGAGTGGCTGTGATAGAGATTATGAAATAAGATGTTTAGAGTACGGATCAGGTTGCAGCTCAGACAAAATATCATCGTTTATAATTGTAAAATTAAGATTGAATAATTTGTCACATCTGTAATGCATGTGCATAACGAGGCTATGGATGTCATAGAGACAATTTAACCGAAATTGAGAGGAGATATTGTATATGAAAAAGCACATCGTACTATTTTTGTATACAATTTAGCTGTAGGATGATGCAAAGTAGCAACAAGCGCAGAATTCATGAACTAATGGACTTGGAAGAGATGAGATGAAATATTACACCAAAGTATATATCCAACCGATACTTTTCTTTTCTCAGTGGAACCGTGGATTTATCATTTTCTTCTTTTTCTTATTAATGTGGAAACTTCGTCACTCTTCTAATGCATACTATACCTCCTAAACGTACTGTGGTAAAAATGCTGCACCTGAAACATATATATAGATTGAATCCTGTGGATCGAAATGAATACATTGGCCGCTTAGGCTTATGATCATCTATAGAAAAGTAGTACTAATAGCTAGCTTCACAATTACAGTTTTGGAATCCCAATTCTGGGCTACAAAAGATTTGCAAAAAATCAGTAGCTCAATTTATAGCCGAGCAGACTCTGCGAATCTCACCATCAGTGCCTGTAATAACACCAATGTTACTCATCTTCACCATGGACCTTGCAAATTCCGCACTGAACGTCAAGCCAAGCAAGCCTCTTATCCCTAAAAATCGTTGCACAAGGGTTCTGGTGGAGGGATCTGTCCACAGCATTTGATCTGATTCTAGGATACCCCGACCACTCTGAAGATTTCCGAAGAAAGAGTTGTCGAACCTGTTTTCACTGCCGGTGTCTAGGGCCACACGCTTGGAGGCGTCACCATTTGCCGGACAAAGTGACTGAAATTGAGAAAGAAAAGAGGGACTGATCGAAGGGTCAACCGTCACGCTGGAATTGAAGTTGTACATTCTGTACTGGACGAATTGGCAAGCTACCGTTCCAATTGTGTGTCCCCCTAATATTATAAACACAAATGTAATAAAGACCGTTGGCTATTCTTAAAATATTGACACCGCATGCTACTGTCCCAATTGTAAGTAATGTTCGTTGCCTTGGCCAATCTGATATGGATACTAAATTTTCAGAGGATCGAGAAAAATGATTTTGACAATCGAGAAAGAACAATGTACATCACTTTCATTGATGTGTACGTACGAATCCATTGGAGATTATTTGCCACGCAATTACCGGGGGTTTGAACTATAACAAAATAATGTGTCGATCAGGAGGGGCAAAATTAGCATTAAAAAAAAATACGCAAATAGAATGGACAAAAAAGAAAGAGAGATCCATAACAATATGATCGTCCTTACCAACAAGGGCCACGAGGTCTTGTGTATCGAGACCTTTGGCAGCAAACTTTTGCTTTTGAACATCAACGGAATCTCTGAATCCTGGCAAATTTGTGGCATCGGATGCTAATGAAACTCGGCCATCTCTACGTCCCGTTGGCACAGGCCAACCCGGTCCACCAGCCTGCATGAACTTCCAAAGGTTAAGCCAACCTCTCATGCAAAACAGAAACAAGAATGATCTGGAAAAATTGAGCTGGAACTACTAGAATTTGATAGCACAAGATTAAATTTACCAGCACAACAGAGTCACGGGCAGCTAAAGCAAGAATGTCTGCACAAGAAACGACACCAGGGCATGCTTGCTCAAGCTGGCTCTTAGCATCGTCAATCACTTCATATCCTCTCAACAAAAGATTAGGCGGAGCAGTTTTCTCGGTGCCTGCACCGTCAATGAGGATAGAACCGTCGCAGCCCTGGACGAAACAGTCGTGGAAATGCATCCTAAGCAACCCCGGAGCAACTTTAGGGTCGGACTGAAAATGTGTTCTCACTGTAGATTGCACAATTGATTCAGCTCGGGGACATGAAGCTGCATAGAACCCAACTCGCGTTCCTTGGCCTAATACCAAGGTTGCAGCACCCACTGCGAAAAAAAGAAACGAAAAGATCACAGAGATTTTGTTAAGGGAGTGAACTTCCATTTTCACGAGTGTTTATACTAGTAAATTAAATATTGAACTTTGTATCTCTGTAAGTGTTTGAAATTTGTAGTAATACTTGTGCTGTTTTGATACTCGTTGGAGTGATGAGGAATGTGCTAGCTAGAGCTCTGGTATTTATATGCAGCAAAAGCAAGCAAATTGCCTGGATTGTGTAGTAGGTAAAACTAGAAAGTAAACAAAGCCGGCTTCAAGAAACCGGGTTATAAGGATTGGAAACTTTTCAAACTGTGGATTGGATGATGAGTTGGATGCATTACAGCGCAGCTGCCATTTCCTTTGTCTTATAATGAGAATGATCTTTGCCTCAGACTCGATAATTCTCCACGAAATCCAGTTGCATCTATTACATTGCAACCGTGTTTTGCATGCATGGTGGCTCTGGGCATATTCAACTATTGCTCAGTATTGGATTTTCACCGGTAACTAACAAGTGCCAAACTTCCTACAGAAAATATGTAAATAACGTAAACGATGTAAGCTGCCGTGCATGAGACATAAATCAACCACCGAACTAGTCCTATCCTTTTGAATTAAAAAATAGCCTGTGATTATTATAATTCTGTCGAGTGCCAGGGCAGTATCCTTTCACTTCACTGCATCAATCGTCTCTAGGTCTCGTCAACTAATTCATGGATAATCTAATACAACTTGGTATACTTTTCTTATGGATCCAAATAGTTCTGCATGCCTAATTTTTGTTCGGTTCCAATAGACAATAGTTTTTTATTTTCCCTATGTATGTCTCGGTCAAAGAAACCAGCATTTGTCTTGCAAGCCCTTGTATTATCCATGTGGAAAGACAGTAATTGCATCCAATTTTTTGTACAAAACGTGCTAATTTCTCATCTTTACGTCTCTACGGAGCGAAGGTTCTTCCTTCAAATTCTCTTTCAGTTTTGGTTCTTCAGTCATATATATACATGCATATATAGGAGGCACTCTGGCAGTAATTTGTTTTACTATTGCACTAGTGATGCCTTTCATATTTTGAATTACCATGTTGTTGGATGCATCTGTTGGCAAGCCAAACTGTAATTAGTAGAAAGAGGAGTTTTTCTTTCTTTTCTGTCTTTTGGGTCGTATGGAGGAGACTTGTTTGTTATACTTATATCTACTCAAATACACATTCAACTCGCTAAGCTAATTCTTTGTGCCTGTTAGGCGGACCGCCAAAATGGGAACAGCCTGATTTCGCCTGTAACGTCGCACGACTTATTTAGGTCTTCCAGTTTTGTCTTCTTTTAGTTTGCTCGGCTTTGTATGAAGCGCGTATTCGTTTCGGCCCGGGCATGAAAAGTCAGTCAGTCAGTCATAAAAAACCAAATAATTCTTTTTTTGTTTTGAAGGCCAAAACCAAAGAATTGGACAATCATAATTCATAATTAAGGAAACCCTGTTAACTTATTAAATAATCAAATATGAAGAAAATAAAATAAAACTCAATTCCCCTCGGCATTAGGAGCAGGGCGAATGGAGAAGTTTGAATTCAAAATCTTCTTCTTATAAGCTGTTCTCCTTTACCATACAGTTCAATCCTCCCCCAATTTGTCCAATGAAATAATATTTGCATATGCATATTAAACATGTACTAATAGATTAATCATCAAGAGAAAGCCACATATTATACTAAACGTTTATCTTCTCAATGTTTGTTTGCAAGTACAAACATATCTATGAATGAACAAGCTCTTACTATTAGTGTACATGTGTGGCTTGAAAAGCGCATCCAATTGGTGCAAATAATATTATACATTCGTCGCAAGGGACAACTTCCTAGGGGAGATCGGAGCAAGAGGAAGGAAACACCTAGACGACATTTTATATTATTAATAATGGATAACGTTGATCGACAGGTCTTTCCCCATGCCTTTGTTTTCTTCTTTGTGGTTTTAATTAATAGTTCTATGCTTCTATTGATTGCGTGGCACGTCATTGCACTGCTTGAGCTGCTGGTTCTATTTCCATTCTTGACGTACAAAAGTTAGAGGTCTCTTCTGGCATTTTCTGTGGGAAATTTTGGTTCATCGTTTTTGTGATCAAGAAATCGAATAGAACAGCCCCTTCAGATGGGTTTAAAGAATTGTAGTGATCCGTACACGGTTAAAAGTATTTACGTAGCGACTAGTAGGCTCGACAACAAAAGGTTCTTCCCACGGAAAATTGGCATGCATGGTCATTTTGTGCATTCATGATCAAAAGGAAGTAATTAACACGCTCTCACGTACATGCGTATGACTGGAAGATTTAATTTAACAGATTTTACTTTACACCCTTATCCCATCAAAGATTCCTTAGTAAACCAGGGAGCAAGGCAAAATTTTTTGCATGCGTATTCGGGGCTTGCTTATCATTGCAAGAATATCTTTTTTGTGAAGGAAGAGGCAAATCCATCCGTGTTTTGTTGAGAATATGCTTTAAATTTGCCATCGTATGCTATGCTATTGATATTGAATTCTATGAATATTTTGTTGCAGCTAATTCTACCTAGATATTTTCCTCGGACAAACTGGTTCCATCCCTTGTTTCCTCCGTTAATTAACACAGTTGGCTATCTTGTACCCCGAAAATTCCTTAGGTGAGGAGGCAAGTTCGTTTACCCATTCTAGCATTTTGCATATAGATCAATGGGAAGATTTTGTAACCAACTAAGCCAAATAGCAGGAATATGCATGCGACAATCCCCTTGTTTAAAAAGCCAAGGTTCCTTGCAAAACAATCAGTTAGCTTGGCTCAAGTGATTGATCCTACGTAAAAACAATTTATGAAGAAGTCGTTTTCTAGGATTCTCAGATGATGAGATTTTTATCTGATCTCTGTTTTGATCGTCCTTGTTTTCCCCTTCAACACTGGAAACTAGTAGCCGGCATGGCATCCCACCGTGAATATATATTTTACAAATCCATCTAGCTAACTTATTTGCTACGTACCTTTCTATTTGTACGAGGCTCATCCATGCTAGGTTCAACCAAATGGCTTCTCCATTGAATTGTAGAATGACGTTTACTAAGTTCCTCGAGCACTTCCTTCTTCTATATCTTCTTCTACTATGTCCAAAAATCACGGCTGACGATGGTCAAAATGGCTTCCACGGAGAGGAAAGAGATGCCCTTTTGGCTCTCGTAGCCGGTTTTAGCAATTCGTTTCTTCATCATAACTGGACTAAGGTCATGTGTTACGAGAACGATCCTCCCTACTGGTTTGGCATTGAGTGTTTGAATGGAAGAGTTACCGGAGTAAGATTGGAAAATTTGGGCCTAACCGGAGAAATCAAAGTTGATTCACTTCTCAACCTGACAGAGTTATCAATTCTGAGCTTCAAAGACAACTCAATTTCAGGACCACTGATGGACTTCTCGAACAATCAGAAGTTGACAGACACTGATTTATCAGGCAACAGGTTTGATGGAGCAATACCGTTGTCCCTTCTAAAGCTCAATTCCTTGGCATCATTGCAACTTCAAGCTAACAATTTGAGTGGTTCAATTCCATCGTTTGATCAGACTAGCTTGAGGGAATTCAATGTGTCTTACAACAATCTTTCGGGGCCAATTCCCAATACTAAAGTCCTTCAATCATTCAACCGGTTTTCGTACTTTGGTAATCCAAACTTGTGCGGCCCTCCATCTTCCTCAGACTGCAACAGCAAAAATGATACGTCCGATACTAACAAGTCAAAAAGTTCAAAGTCGTCTAAACTTGTTCCAATCTTATTAGTTGTTAATGTTGTTGCTTTGATCATTCTTTTATTCCTCTGCATTATTTTCTTTAAGAAGTATAAAAACCTCAAGAAAAAACTGGAGGAAAAGCACGTTTTGGTCGGGGACGAAGAAAAGGATGAGAAGGTTAAAATGGAAACGGGGGGAAATAGGGTAGCAGCTGATGAAGTAGAGAAAGGGAAGCTTGTGTTCGTAAATGAAGATAGGAAATTTGAACTTGACGATCTCCTAAAAGCATCTGCTGAAGGTTTGGGTAAAGGCAACTTTGGTAACTGCTATAAGACTATGCTGGAAAGGGGACCAATTGTCGTAAAACGACTAAAGGACTTGAAACCTTTAAGCGGTGAAGAATTCATGAAACAAGTAAGACTGATTGCTGATCAAAAGCATCCAAACTTGCTATCTCTTCTTGCCTATTACTATTCCAAAGATGAAAAGCTACTACTATACAAATTTGCTTCAAACGGAAACGTGTACAACCGACTTAATGGTAAGTATAATCAATTTATCATTATTAGCAGTGTTTTTGGAGTATAAATCAGTAAGATGGATGCGTTAAGCTCTTCTGCTGATGTGTCTTACAGAGGGAAAGGGGAAACCAACTCGAATTCCTTTTCGGTGGAGCTCAAGATTATCAGTAGCTCGTGGTGTAGCTCGAGCATTGGAATATCTACACCTCAACACCAAGTCAACAAACGTTGTCCCACATGGAAATTTGAAGCTATCCAATGTACTTCTTGATGAAAATGATGGTGTCCTTGTAACGGATTATGGGCTAACTTCACTTGTAGCAGCTCCACTGGCAGCTCAACGTATGATTGCATTCAAATCACCCGAATACCAAAGTCACAAAAAGGTGTCAAGAAAGTCTGATGTTTGGAGCTATGGCTGCTTACTCCTGGAGCTGGTAACAGGGAGAGTTTCAGCTGATTCAGCCCCACCAGGGACCAATGCAGTTGATCTTTGCAGGTGGGTTCATCGCGCAGTCAGAGAAGAATGGACAGCTGAGATTTTTGATGTTGAAATAGCAGTTCAGAGAAGTGCCAATCATGGGATGCTAAAACTACTGCAGATTGCAATGAGATGTTGTGCAAGTTCCCCTGAAAATCGCCCTGAAATGAGTGAGGTTGCAAGAGAAGTTGAGAACATAGTCGTAACGGCCGATTCCGAAGATGAGGAAGAGTTTTCATCAATGGATCGATCGCTCACGGATGAATCCATGTCAACTCCATCCAGGAGTACTACAACTTTAGACGATCGACGATAATTTATTTTTTCTTGCATTGGCCTTATTGCAATTTTGTCTGTGATGTACTTTCCTATATTAGTATATTAGCAAAGGTTGAAAGCCAACAAA